AATAAATAAAAGTGAGCCACTATTTATTATTACTCAAAAAAATTTAATTTGAGTTTAAGTAATTTTTCCAAAAATTTTTCATTTTTACTTTAAAAAATTCTATTCGAACTAAACTAAATTTTTCTTAATACCAAAACTGTTATTTTTTACAACTGTTTACAAAATATGTGAGTTCATTCTAGAAATGCCAAAAATAAATTGCCGAAATATTACGCTCATATTTTGGAAGCATTTTAATAAAATTCAAATATTTTCGCCAACCATTTTTCAAACTAATAAACTGTGTTAGAGCACTACCAGCAGGTCTACAACTCAAAGCCAACTTAACCGAAATATATGCGAGAAATTCCTATTCCCACACACGCACCCATACAAACATATGCATGGCTAAAAGTTAGCTTATGTGGCTAACCCGCCGGACTGCGTCCTATCACAGGCAATTCATAAATCTTCTCATATCTCGAGCTGAGCTGGCAGCTACCAAGTATGAGTGTAAATATGTGTGTTTATAAGAGTATATGTATATGTGTTTGTGTGTGTGACTGCCGACTAATAAGACATCTCAAAAGTCACTTGAAGACAGTAACATCGTAAGACTGGAAAAAATTGTGTCAAAACCACAATGGCAACAGTGTAGACAGTGCGCCGCAAAGTATGCTTAGACGCAAATAAATGCACAGCACACATGCACATGCATTACATGTGTAGTATACAAATAGATATACTCGTATATACAAATACAGAAATACATATAGTAGTACATGTGCGTACATGTATGCGGGTGGCAGCTTGAACCTTTCATTATCATTTCCATGACAGCGCGTTTGCATGTGGATGTGAGTGTGTGCATGTTGGCAGGCTGCTGAAGTGGTCAGTTAGCAAGTATGCGCCGCAAAGTATGCTAACAACAATCAGAAATATAAAATATACAGTTATTTGCGGCTACGAGGGTCAGCTGCGGAGAGATATGTCAACGCTGTCGCCGACTCACCTCATTACTGGCACACAATACACGATACACTACAACAAATTGCACTAGCACGAACGAAGCGTGCTGTATCAACGGTGTTTATGCGACTGTAGTGGTGCAGTGAAGTTGCCCAATCGGTTGACCGACTTCAGTTTTTAACTAGTTTCGGTTAACGTTATTCAATTTAATTTAATTAAATTTATGTAAGCAATTTTTATATGTCTGCTTGCAGCAAATAAACCAGCACACACCCAAACACATATATACACATTCACATGCCATTTATGTTAATATAAAACACATGGCTTTTTAATTAAATGAAATGTGGCAAATTTAGTGGCTGCTGATGTATGCATATGAATGAATGCATGTGTGCGTGAGTGTGTGATTGTGGCGTTGCCAACTAGCTGAAATATTTGTGCTGATTACTTGCGATAGTTGTGCTCGACGCATTTACGGAATATGCGCACACATACACACATACGCATCGGGTATTATTTCATATAATTGCTCGTATCTTAATTGTATGATCTTTGGCAGCCACAATAACGGTATGTATTTGAATTTAAATTAATGCGAAATTTGCATTTGTCGACTTTTCGCTTGGCAAACCTGATTGTTTGTTAATTAGTGAGTTGTCATGCCGTATTAAAGACGAAAATTCACAGGAAATTTTAAACAACATTCGGTGGTTAGAATGCACAAAACAAAATGAAAATGATGATAGATAGATATTGTTATATTTAACCATTTTCCAATTATTTAATTTTAGTAATACTATTTAAAAGAGTTTCAAGAACGTGCTGGGAAAGAATGAACCACAAAGCAAAATTTATAGAGACAGCAAACAGAAGGCACTTAATAACTTATATCATCGACAAATATAAAACAATTTTAAAAATTACTAAAAAAATTATAAAAATAAACAAGAAACTAAGTTAACTTCGGTTGCTCGGAAGCAAAGTAACCTTAATATTGGTTACTTGAAAAAGTCTTTTCGTATTTCTAATCAAACTTTAACTTATTTCTTTTTTATATTTGAACAATAGTCTATGCCTATGTGGTCCCATACCGGCAATTTCGACAACTGAGCAGTCGTTTGGCGTGAGAAGCACGTATGTAAAATTTCAAATTGATAACTCAACAGTGGAACTAGTTCGCGTATATACAGGCAAAGCTCGCGACGCTGATCATTTGTATATCTCTGACTTTCCTACAGGGCATTACAAAACTTATAGGCAAACTGATTGGGAATAAAAATTAAAAAAAAAAATCGTAAATATACAATCTCGCACCACATTACATTCACACCACATACATATGTATATTAATTCAGTCACATTTAGCTAAAATCTCAGAGCTTACTGCAACTTTAAATTTATTATTCTACTACTACGACGCGTCAATTGGATTTCATGCGTTAAAGTTAACTTTAAGCGCTTTCACACACTCCCATTCGCACGGACCAAAACACCCACCCATCCCCTTTGCTTGACTTACATTTACATTATGAGTCTCAAAGTTGTGCTGATGACTATGCGCTTGAGCCTTAGCTTAGTATAAAAAAATGCCGCCGCCGCACACTCACACGCGTATCACGTCGCCTGGTGTCGATTTCGACTTGGTCGTCAGTTCACTGAGACTGCCAGCCAGTGAGTCGTGCTCGTTGTCACTATCTAGGCCTGCGCTGTGGGCGCTTGTGCTCGCCGCCGTTGTTGCGTTGGCTGTGGACGCCGCGCCTGCTGCGACGCCACCCAAGCTGTCATCCAGCATTGTGGGCGCGCCCATGGCCGCATATGCTACCGCAGCATCGTCAGCAGCCCTGTCGCTTAGCAGCAGGCTGTGCGGTCATCTTAGCGATTCGCGTCACATAAAGACGTCAGCGCCGGCGCTGACCATGCCGCCCGCTTTGCGCGGCGTCGTCGGCACGCCGTGTGGACAATGCGTCGCTGTGCTGGCATTCGAAGTGTTCACACCTGAAGCCGCTGCTGCCGCATTCATAGCTTTCGACTCGTCCTCGAAGGTGACCATTTTCTCGCGTGGTTTCATAATGATCTGCATTTGCTGCGGTGGTGGCGGTTGCCCTGTGCAAATGAGCGTCTGTGGTGGGCCCAGCTGCAGAGCGTGCGGTAGACCGCCAGCCATACCCATGCCGCCACCGCCATGTTGTATGGTTGGGGAGTAACGGCGCGCTGGGGGTAGCGCCAAATCACCGACACCCGATAAATTGAACTCACTAACGCTGCGCGGCACGAAATACTCCATGTGGTGCTCGGGTATGCCGGTGGAGCGACGTATGGGTGTGTTGCGTTGGAAAGCAGAACCCGCCGAACGCCGTGGCAGCGAACTGTACTGTGTGAGCGTATGCGCCGGTCCAAAGAACATCGTCTGGTGATGGCCTAGTGTGTTACCGCCGAAACCGCCAAGTTGCGCCGGCATATTGGAATTGCCGTTGCTGCTGTTTCCGCCGCCGCCACCGCTCAAGGCGAGCAGCTCAGCAGCAGGTCGTTGTCAAGAGGACTTCGGCGTGACTGCCACGGAGACAAGCGCAACGTCCTCGCCTTGCGGCATCACGTGATCTTGTACGCTGAATTTGCGCAGCCACATTACAATCTCGGTTTGTATGAGACTGAAGCACATGGCCACCACGGCCATGCCGACGAGTATGTACGCGGATGCGAGATACAGTGTGAGGTTGCCGGTGGGCGCCAATTCGCCGAAACCGATGGTGCCCAGCGAAGTGAAGCAGAAGTAAAGCGCCTCTAACACGCTCCAGTTTTGCAGTTTGTGGAAGAGCACTGCGCCTGAAGTGACGTAACAAACCAGCACCATGACGCATATGGAGATGGGCACGCTGGGACTGTGTGTCGACGCATGCATACCCATACCGATGGAGCCGCTATGATGATAGGCGGGCTTGGGCAGTCCATAATGATGCGCAGCGGCGGAATGTAGCTTCCCACTGCCACCGCCACTGTGATGATAAATTTTATTCGCACTTTTACCGCTGTCATTCGGTGGCAACTTGCCGTTGCCGCTACTAGTGCCACCGCTACCGTTATTGCCTGTATTACCAGCGCCGCTGCCGTTGCTTACGGCGCTTTTGGAGCGCGCTTTGCGGAAGAGGCAGCGCATGGCGGCGGAGAGACCCTCACCCATGGCGGATAGGTATAGCAGCACGATGGGAATGCCGAAGAGCGCGTAGATGAGTGCGGCGATGCGACCCCACTGCGTGCGCGGCGAAATACCGCCATAACCTGGAAAGAAAGAAGAGAGGCATTTAGTACAATGAAGTCGAATAACATATGTTCGTTTTTATAAACTAATCTAACTTGGCGCTTCGATTATGAGACCCGTTAGTTAATTTCAAGATACTTGAAAAATGCAATTACGCGCTGTAAAATACGCAACACCAAATTTGAATGTCTGTGGTTACTTTGACATGCCTATGTGCAGTATTTGAAATGCTCCTTTGAAGAGGTTATCGCATAGCGACGAGAAGGCATTTCAAACAGTAGTCATGTGTGGCCAGTAGGACATTGCTGACTTAGTTTTGGCATTGTTTGGTCTAATTGGCCGGAGAGCTTTCCATTGCCAGGCTATAAAATCTTCTTCTAGTCGACCCTGGCGGGGTATGTCGTCCGAATGGACGAAAATACTCCAGCTCTGAAAGTAGTCGACGTAGTACCAGCCAGGGGAAGAAGAAGAAAATAGATACCTCCACTCCATTGGAAAGACCAGGTGAAGTAGGACTTGGCTTCGCTTGGAGTCTCCAATTGGCGCTACCTTGTGAAAAAATAAACAACTGATGCGATGTTGTTAACTCGGCTATAAAGCGTTTGCGGTTTCTACGCAAGTAAAGAAGAAGAGAAGTGGATATAATCGATCTACTTATCACGTGGAAACTCCTTTGGCAGGCTTTGCAGCCTCTTGTGTCCAATGACACTATGACGAAGCTTTTCTTGACGGACCTTCAATACAAATTCTCTAACCCTAAATGAATGTGCTTGGACTTAGCTTCATGGGAACTCGTTGTTTTTTATGAAGAAAATCAGTCTGCACTCATAAAAATTTGGTAACGCTGTCTCGATTCGGATGTTACGAAGTGAAAGCCTAGAGCTACAAACAAACTCGATCTTTTTCGAAGGAAATGCAACCGATATTAGAAAAGTTATTACAATGGCCGTTAGAGGAAAGAAGCCTTTTTTGAAAACGAGAGAAAGGCATATGACTCCGAACTCAAGCAGGGCCTTCAACCGTTCGTCCCGTTTTCTTGCTGGGTCATCATATACCCGTTTGCGGTAAACGTAGTCAGTTGCCTGCTTTGTTACGCTAATGTAGACATAAACATATACACGACGTGCAAATCTACATATTTTATGTACGAATATACACACACGTACTCATATATATATATATTGCATATGTAAATAGCCTTTCAGGTTTTCCAACAGCTACAGGCCCATTTCCGCTAGCGAATCTGCCACTTAAGCAACTGTTACTAAATACCATACTTTGCCGTAATTTAGCCATGGGGCAGCGCCACGAAGACAGACAATAGACACAGGCATTCATGCCACACTGAGCGCCTGGTAAGCTGAGTGTTTGTGTGTGTAAATTTGGTCAGCCGGGTATATTTTGCAGGGATTTAACGTCGGTCAACTGTTGCGAAGTCACGGCAACGCCGAAGGGACAGAGTTGGGCACTAAGTGTTAAGCTCGATTTATCCCTGCGTGTGTGTGTATCGCGCTAGTTCAAGTTTGCACATATGACGACACTTAAGCGCAGCGCTGCGGCACTCAACCAAGCGCGCATAGAGACACACATTCGCGCGGCTGACACACGTGCGGCCCGAGGCTGTGACCGCACGTTCCGCTATATCCGGACCCTTCATTAGCTTTTATGCTAATACTTAATTTTACATATAGACATGCGTGTACAACTTTTATGCAACCGTTTGGCTGTGTGTATATATGTATGTACCATATATGTACATATGTATATCCATATACATATAAAATTTGTGCTTTGATGAGACATTTTGCTAGTTTTCAAGTACATAGCTGTATTTGAGCAACGTGTGAGTGTAGCCGTGTGACCTCAAATGGTGGCAACTTTTAAAGTGAATTACCGCTAAATGCCGGTAGAATGGAGTTCTAGGAAATTTTTGTTAGTGGTCACGTCTCACTGGCTTAATTGTGGAGACTGAAATTCAACCGCTTTCAAAATTACAATATTTAACGGATGTTATGCATATGACACGTAACTTACTTCAAAATTTGTTGGAAGCCCTTTAGTGGCAAGCGAAGACTCTCACATGCCAAAATTTACACAAATTCTTCTATACATATTTAACTTTATAAGTACAGAATTTAATGTAGAATTTAAAGAGTTTAAATATAAAGCAAACAGAACATAACAAAATATCAAAAAAAAAAAAAAAATTTTGTCCCAAAACATGAAAAAATTCTTTCTAGTAAAGGAAAGTAAAGGAAAAACGTAGAATTAAAAAAAAAAATGCTGACTTCAAAAAAAAAATTTTTGTTTTGCTCCCAAAATTTTGGGTTCAAAAAAATGTGTCCCAAAATCATTTGAATTACGTACTATGATTCTAAATACCTAACTCAACGAAAAATAAAAGTTTTTGCTAAGTCTATTCATTAAAATTAGTTCAGTATAATTGTCCCAAAATGTTGGTTCAATATAATTTGCTAAAAAGTCATTTTCATAATCATTTATGTTTCTAAATACCTAATTAGACTAAAAGTAAAAGTTATTTGCTAAGTTTGTGCATAAATATAACTTCATATTAATAGTCCCAAAATTTTGGTTTCAATAAAATTTGTCCAAAGTCATTTGATATTATTTTCCTAAATACCTAATTCAGCCAAAAATAAAAATTTTCATTGTCCCACAGTTTTGGTTTCAATAAAACTTGTCCCATACACATATATTACTTCACTTTAATTGGCCCAAAAAATTAAACGCGCTAAAATTATATTCTAATTTAAAGGTGAGATGCATACAAACAAATAAAAAAATTAAGATGGCCAACAAATCTTTTTTAAAATTTTTTCAAATCGTAATTTTAAGTGAGAACAAATGCTAAATTTGATTCTTTTAAACGCTTTGTTTTCCATCTAAGCAATAAAAAAAAAATCACTTAATTCTAATTGAGGAGATTTTTCAGCCGAAATATTGCATGTTAACTGTCCCAAAACATTTTCTTTGCACAAGCGATGCATTTAAAAGACAAGAATGCATTTGTTTCAAAAAATATTGCATAAATACAGAAATGTGTATGGTTTTTCAAATTTCTTAAATTTTTTGGGACAGAGAAAATTTATCTCAAAAATTAAAAAATGCAAGTTCTTCGATGTATTATTTTTAAAATTAATGCAAATGCATAAAATGTTGAAATTTTTAAAAATGAAAATTTTGGGACAAATATTTTTTTATTTGTTTATTGTCATTTCAGTTAAACAATTAAGCAAATTTTTGAAAAATATAGTCCGAATTATGTGAATAAAAAGGACAGCGGAATAAAACATGCATTTGGGGATATAAAATGTCTAATTTATGTGACCCAGAATTTTGCTTTGGCCTACAGTAAAATGTTTTTTCTCACAACATCATTACTCGGATGTAAATATTAACATTTCTGAACTTCTATTTCCTGCAGGATTGCATTACACTCTTATATATTGCAGCTCGTATGTCAGCATACTGCTATGTACTATGTAAGCGAGCAAATCTTGACTAAATGCAAGGCAAATAAAAAGTGGCCTAAAATTAATGGTCTCCTCGGCTACTCGGTTGAAACAGTAATTTTTGGCATAAAAGAATGGTCACAATTACAACCGTAAACGCACACATACGTATTCACACATGCGCACGCACATGGCAGCGTCATACGTGTGCACACACGACCAGCTGCAAGCAAAGCAACTACTATTTTACACGCTTTTTATCACTTTTGCTGTCATTTGTGTAGCAAATAAAAAATATTTACAATTTCCTCTTGCAACTTGTTGTTGTGTAGCTGTTAAGCTCGTTTTCCATTTTGTTATTATATCTTTCTATCCTTTTTGTTGCAACTTATTTGTGCTGTGGTTATTGTAACTTGAATTGCTACGCTTGTTGTGTGCCTTTATGGTGCTTCCAATCTAGTTGGCTAACAATATGCTGACATAAAAACAACAAAAGCAAAGCGTCGAGCGGCATAGAAGTAAAATTTGCTTAAATAAAAACCGAAGCTGCACGGCGCAAAAAGTTTTACGGCTCTCACCGCCACAGTCGTTCATTCGTCACAACAACAACCACAAAACACTTTGTGTACACACATACTTATGTAAGCGTAAGCAATTGCATGGTAGCGTGTATCATATGACAAGCGTTGCTGCTTTGGTTGGTGCTTCTGGTTAGTTTTGTTGTTAGTTTGTCAGTTTTAATGTGGAAACTTTTATAATTGAGTAAAAATTTCGGTGCGTCCACAAGTTATACAAATATGAGGGCATGTAAATACAAGCATGCCCATAAATATTTATAGAGTACACCCCCAAAGCTTATGCGTTGATAAGGCTCACTAGTTGTGCTGTGCTACAGCTAAGCATATGGTTGATGTTGCCTGCGCAAAGACCAGTACTCAGTTCACTAACACAGAGTGCCCCACAAATTTTATTTTATGTCTTTAAAAGACAAAAACCATTGTATTTTTTTTTAATCTCTTAATTTTTTGGGACAGAGAAAATTTGTCCCAAAATTGAAAAATGCAAGTTTTGCAATGTATTATGCTGAAAATTAATTTATTATTTCAAATATTAAAATTTTGGGACAAATAATTTTTTTATTTTGTTATTATTTTCCTGATACATTACCAGGCTTATAATCACTTAGATATTTCATAATTATGAGAATACAAATTTTGGGAGAAAATTTTTTTTGGTAATTTCTAATTTTTTTCGTTAAAATTATTTTATAACTTATTACTTTATTTTTGAAGTAGACAACAGCGAAAACAAGTAAAATAAACAACACAACGTCTCTTAGAAAGGAAAGAATTTTGAAATTTGAGAATACAAATGTTGCGAAAATTTTTTTGCATTTTTTTCACTTTCTTTTGCAATTTATTACATCGAAAATAAGTAAAATAAACAGCACAGACATACTCGGAATTTTTAATTTATGCCTTTAAAAGGCATAGAGTACATTAACTTCAACAAAAATTATCGCAGAAACACAAGTATTATATTTTTGA